TAGTATGGGATTCTAGTTCTGTTGTCCGCGATCCTTCAATTATAGCTGCATGCGTAATTTTTATATAGTAATTAATATGATTACAATGTTAATAAAAAGAGAAAAAGAGTGATGCTTAATTCAAAATGCATGAATATGATAAATTGAATAGAATTCACAGTGTTTCGTTTCAGCTCGCTGTATTTTGTCATGTCTTTCAAACAAAGGATTAGTCAAACATAAGTATTGTTTTCAAAAAGGCTAAAGAGATAAAGCTTTCTCTATTTATTTGGGGAACTACGCACATGCAAGGTCAAAATGACAAATAGATCTATATTGAAGTTGAAACAAATACCAGACTTTGAAAATACAAAATTTGAAGACAAAAACACAGTATAGTTTTTCTAATACAAAACTATTGCTTGTGCAGACCTCGTTAACTGAATACTTTAGGTAAAATAACCAAAAGTAATCTCACTGGAAAAACTAGAACTGCAACCTTCAATCATAATTCAGCAAATGGAAAAACTTCGCAAAAACTTCGCAAATGCTGAGGCACATTGAGAATGTCCTTATCTGCATGTCTTGGCAAAAATATAGCCAATTTTACGGAGGCAAAAGTAGGGCTGGAACTGCAAAAGCATGTGAACCTATAATTTAACAAACCATGTTGCTTACTGAACTTTTATATATAAATATATATATTTGTGTATGGCTGTATTTAAAGTATTATAAGAATACTTAGTATAAAGCAACATTCAGCTCCAAAAAGGCAAAATTAAAAAGAGACAAAGATTTCAATGTTAGAAATAAAAGCAACCAAAGACATTTGCACATAATAAATATGTAGTTTTATTTATTTTATCCTAAAGAACTCATTGGCCTTTTCCCTTATTTCCACTTTGTGCCTTCAATACACGAACCACAATCTTCTGTTCTTCAATTAAAAACGCCCTCACAATTCTAGGAAAGATGCAATGCTTTGTGTGAGAAGAAAGTTGCTTTATGCAAGTTTTATTAGGGATGTGCAACAATGACCAGTGCACACGCAAACACATTCGATACTGGCAAGAGATTCATCAAGAACAACATTAAAGAATATCGTCTTGGAAGCAGTGCATCCACTTTTTGAAATTAAAATTTCTTCAAATATGAAAATTTTTAAGGAAGTCCGCAAATTGTAATTGTGCGTACAGTATATACAGTTTGGCACATCTACATGGCCTACAGATATCATTTTCATAGTTACAAAGTCCCCTTAATGATTTTTATCTCATTCAATTTTCTGACTAAAATCTTTGCACACTTTCTTCATGTGAGAAAGTCTGCTTTCATGAGTAGAATGTTCGGGCATTAAGCAGTACATTGCTGCTGAATTATTCATGTCTGTTTCCCTTCAATGAACCACATATATTCTTTACATTAAAGAGGTTTCACCGTAAAATACTATATTGCCCAACAATTGGTGGTCAACCTGCAGTTACAGAGTCAGAAAATATGGTTCACACCTTTCAGTATATGCAGTCAGGGCAGGAAAAAAAAAATTCTTCCTGGGAGCACAAACTGGAGAACAAAAATTTCCTGCAGACCAACAGAGTATTTTTGTGCTAAATCTGCGTGTGCATAAACATGTAGTGTCCTAGCTGACCATAGTTTTAAATTCAAGGAATAATGTCTGTCAACCATATGTTGTTGTGCCGGTAATGGGACATGGGTGTTAAGGTTTCCTTCAAAATATCAATAGCAAATCTTCATTCAAACAAATTTCCTGCAGCTGTTTAACATTTCCTGCGAGCAGTGCTCGCTCGCCTATTTTTTCCACCCCTGTATGTAGTAGTATTGTATTGGAGGCAAATAAATAGAATTGAGAAACATAGCTTGATTTTCCTGCTCTTGTAAGTATCTGCATTTCTGTAGTTGACTAATTATGGAAACCCTTAAAAAATCATCCAGAATATGTGCTTTGTGTACAAACAAGAAGAAAAAATACAATCATAGTTACCTTTCTCTTACACATTTGGCACATCGAGAACCTCCATAGGCACGTGAAACTGTCTTTTTAGGCTTTGATAACTGTTTAAGTTTTCTTGGTCGTACAGCTGGCAGCTAAAAACAATACAGCAAGTCAGTCACACATAATAGCCTCTTAGTAGCACAATATTTGCACATATATAAGCGAAGCTGTACATATTCTCACCCCCTGTAGTTTCTTCTTGCAATCACCACATTTCGGCACACTGCCCCGCTTCTTTGTGTAAAGGTAAACAAGTTTGCCACCTTGAAAGTGACAGTAAAACTGTTAAGTGGTCAATAGTATCGCATTGGAGTAAAAGACAAGGTTGCATGGACTGCAGTAGGCTCTGCAGCAGCCAAAGCATACATTCAACTGTGGTTATAAAATAACATGTATATAACGCGTGCTCTGATTGGTCGAAACCCGTGTTTAAATCAGGCCATCCAAACACGGAAGACTATCGCGTTGTAGTTATTTTATAAAACAATTACTTTATGGTTTCCGTGTTTGGATGGCCTGATCCAAACACTTGGGAATGTTGCTCGAGTTAAGAAAAGCGCGCAAAATCACTCGCCTTCGGCTCGTGTTTCGCTCGCTTTTCTTAACTCTCGCAA